GCTGAGCTCCAAGTCACCCAAAGGAGAGGTGAGGTAGACCAAGAACAGTGGGGGTGTGGGGGGGGCAGCCGCTCTCTTCAGGGCTGGGTTGGCCCTGCCCTCCCTGTTGTTCTGCAAGGCTCTCACCAGAATCGTCTGGAGCAAGGAATACAGGGAGACCTAAAATCTAAACATGTGGGGGTGGGTACAATTACAGCAGGTAGAGGCCTCTCAGGTTTGCTACCCTGTTTGCTTTGCCCAAGAATCATGGTGGGGAAGGGGTCTACTCAAGGACAAATTTCACCTTACTAGGAAGAGGTAGGGCCAAAGAGACTTGGGCTACCACTTGCCTGTGGTCACCTGAGGTTTGGCCTCGGCCTCCTGTTTTATAAACCCAGATCACTGCAACCCTTTGTTCTGGTGTGAGGGTTTTAGGGTGGAGGCCCAGTAGAAGGAATGAGCCATCTTGTCCCCAAGAGTTGTTGGCATTAAGGATTCACCAAGGTGGAGCCCTGAGCTTTGGTGGAGGCCCAGCTGGCTCCTGGCCACTGGGGTGAGAGAACCTGGCTCTGCTGAGGTAAGTTCAGGCAGGAAAAACTAACAAAAGGGCCTCCCTCCTACACTCCAGTGCTCTTGAGTCACCAGGCCTTTGGGGGAATGCCAACGTCATCATGATACAGCAAGAATCTTATCGGCCCAAGGGGGAAGTCAGCCTTGAAGTGTCTGTCCTAAGAAGAGGGAGGGGCTAGAGCAGCTAGGTCATTTGGATAAATCATAAGCACCCATCATGCCATGGCCATCATGGTCCAGGTGGGGAAAATGAGACCCAGGGAGGAGAGGGTCCTGCAGTGAGATGCTCTGCCCACATGGACTCCCAGTGGGATTCTCCTTCCCTTGTTCCTATGGAAGTGTCACTCTCCAGCTTCACCAAGGTCCCCAGGCAGGGGAGGATATCCTTTAATGCCCAAGGTTCCTTCCTGCACGCTAGTGCTTTCTGGACAGCAAGTACCTCCACTCTCTTCCTGAAGTGGGTTGGAGTCTTGAGAAATAGGAGAACCTTGAGTGGCTCAAAGCCCATTTGGTAACAGCATCAGGACGCTCTCAGGAAGGAAGCTGGGCATGTACATGAGGGTTGGGTAAACCTGCAAGGGAGGAAGTGGCAGAGGATGGCCGCTTGGGCCCAGCTGGCCTTGGGGTGTCCTGCTTGCCCAGCTGCTGGCCTCCTTTTGGTTTCTAGGTCATACTGAACTTGTTCTTGACTTAGGGCTGTGGGTACTTCCTCTTCCTTTCATATGGGATGCACCCCCAGCCCTCACCTGAAGGCCTTACTCTCCAGGCCTTCTTCATGGGACCTGTGTGCTGAAGGGGGCAGGGGACACAGGGGCACATTGGTGGCTTCTTTCTTGTGAGCCCCTCTTGGTCTGCTTACTCCCTTTGGGGCTCTGGCTTCCCACAGTCTATCGGCTCTATGAGGAAGGGGCTGTGGCTGTTGTGGTTTGAAAGAGGTACTTGCTTCATGTTGAATGAATGAATGCAGAACGTGCTGGTTTCTCAGAACAGCTGGTACCCTGCTTATCTCCCGCAGCAAGTGAGCTGTCAGGTATGGAAGGAGGTTTAAGAATGGGAGCTACTCTGAGTGCTGTCTGGGCATAAATGCCCCTGCATGAACTCCAGCCCTCCCTGTGGGGGTGGGGGGTGGGTGGGGGTGGGGAGGAGAAACAATGGGGCTCTTTAGAACATCCCTTGTCTTCTCCACTCCCTTCTGCTGGAGCTAGCACTTCCCATTTCGGTTCTAGAAGCCTCTAGTTCTCACTCCCAAAGCAGAGGAGAGCAAAGGGGAACCCTACTGATTGCAATTAGACACAGTTGCCTAACCCAAGGCCAGCAGGAACGTACACATCAGCCTAAGAAGGCCAAGACTTGTTTGCTAGGAGGAAACACTGAGGTTTTGAGAGAGATACACACACACACACACACTTGCTCTAGTCAACAAGCTTAGATTCTCTCAGTGAGGTATCCAAGAGTTGAGGGTTTGGGGTTATGATCCATCATTGTGGTCTAGGTCACTGTTGGCCTGTGATTGTGAGAACATGGGGTAGGGATGGGGAAGGGAAATCATCCTTATTTACTTGCTGCTCCAGTCTGATCCTTGGAATGAAGGCCTAATGGTCAGACTCTGAGGTGTTAAGGTTTGTGGCTGTCACAAGTATGGCTCCTCAAATGGGACTATGTCTGAGGCCAAGCCTGTCCCACTGTGTGCCCCAATTGGGTACCTCCAAGGGACTTTAGGGTTCCTAGGTGTCAGAGGACAGTGCTTGGGGTGGCTTGCACTTGCTTTTCTAGTGGTAGAGCCCTTCTCCCTTGCTCTCCTCCTCATTATTTCTAAGTTCTGATCAGAAATACAATGGTGGGCTGGACATGGTGGTGACCTGTAATCCCAGGTACTGGCAAGGCTGAGGCAGGAGGATCACAAGTCAGTCTCAGCAACTTAGCAAGATCCTATCTCAAAACAAAAAGGTCTGGGGTGCAGCTCAGAAGTAGAGTACTCTTTAGTTCAATCCCCACTACTACAGGGGGAAGAAAGAAATATAATAGTGGCAGCAGGGAGCAGGTTTGAAAAGCGGGTGGCATGTTCTGTACGAACAAAGAACCACAGATTTCCTCCAGCACGGAGGGGCTCACAACATGCACCATGTTGCACCTACCTTGTCAAGAGCTAACTAGTTCTCATGGAACTCTTATTCAAGATTACACAATAAGTTCAGGGTGAAGATGATCACACAATGTTGAGCAGAGTTCGGGACATATCCAGGGCTAAAAGTAAACAATTGAAACCACTTTTGCCATTAAACCTTGGTCCAATCAGTCACTGTACTTGTCTTGCTGCCACACAGCACACAAGGGAGGATGCTCTCATCAGGGACCACAGATCCACTAAGGCCACACTCCTTTTCCTGTCCAACCATGTACTGTCAATATGCAATTCCTCTGCCTTTGCTTCTACTCTTTGGCCTTTCCAATCAGAGCAAAAATTCAGTTGTGTCAGCTAGATAACTGAGGCCAGGTGGGGTGGGCAGAGCTCCTCAGGAGGGTTTGGAAGTTGTGGCAAAGAGGAAGTGTTCAAAGAAAGACCCAGTATTTATGATCAGGGAACTTCATTGGTACAGAGAGAAGAGGCAGAGACAGGGCTCCAGATCTTTCTTCTAGAACTGACCATGTGACATTTGTCAAGTCACAAACTGGTTTAAAAAGAATTCAGAATGAATAGCATTCCCTGCTTGCATCTGTTTTCCTCACTGAGAAGGAAGAAGTCATGGTCCTTTAGGACCTGGCAGCTCTAGGACTCCTGGCTATACTGAATGGGTGACCAGACTTTAGAAACATCTCACAAGTATGTGTATACCAGGTAGTGTAGGGAGGTTAGTGGCACACAGGCAGGGGCAACAGGTAGAGCTCAATTTATCAGAGCCCATGCAGCCCCACAAAACTCAATCAGGAAAGCTGAGGCACAGAGTAAGACGTGTTTTGCACAATGCCACATTCAAAGTCTGACTTTTCAGACTGGGGCCTGGGGGAGACTCACCGATGCACCCATGATGATGAATATATGTGTATCAGCCTGGTGGAAGGCATCACCCTGGTACAGCTCTTCCCGCAGGATCCCGCACACCTGGGTCCGACTCAGGGCTACCTGCTCTGCCATGGTGCTCTCTGGTGAAAGAAAGGCTCCTTGACAAGTCGGTCTCCTTCTTGAGTCATGACGGATTACTGAAACCATTCTCTGGGAATGGTCACGGTGGGGGTGGGGCAGCGGGGTTGGTGGGTTAGAAACTGCTGCCTCTGGGTTCCAGCCTTACTCTCCCAGGCTGCCTTTTTTCAGGGTGTACATTCAAAATTACTCAAAGCATGAATGGATTTTAGCTGCAGCATCAATTCTGGGCAAGTGGATAAAAATCCTGCCAGAGCATCGCACTACATGTCCTGGACCATCTCATTGTGGACTTTGCCAGAAACTCCACAATGAACCGGAGCACGTTGGATTGTGCAGATGATGGAGTTTAGCTCCAGCCCTCCCCCTGTCAAGCTGGGCGATTCCGGCAAGTCCCCTCCTCTCTCGGGGTCTGGCCCTCAAGGTCCCAATGGGGGAACCGCGGGTACAAAGGGATCAGTTAAGTCTGTCTGTCTAGAAAAATAGCGCCTATTAAAAGGCCGCGTGGTGCAGCAGCAGGCAGCACACCCCTCTGCCGATGCGGCGCCTGCCCGCCCCGTTACCTGCGCCTCGTCGCAGTCACCCGCAGCGCTCGCAGCCCCGGAATGCACGGCCGTTTCCGGGGATTGAGCCCCGTCGGCCCATTTAACTAGTGGGGGCGGGCGCCTCTGCTGAGCTGACCGGCCTCAGGCGAGGCGCCCGGGGCGGGGCCTTGCCGGCCCCTCTCCAGAGAGAGAGAGAGAGAGAGAGAGAGAGAGAGAGAGAGGGAGGGAGGGAGAGAGAGAGAGAGAGAGAGAGAGAGAGAGAGAGAGAGAGAAGGGAGAGAGAGAAAGAAGGGAGGGAGGGAGGGGGGGAGGGGGGGGGGGGGGGGGGGGGGGGGGGGGAGGGGGGGGGGGGAGGGAGGAGGGGCGAGGATAAGTGCGCGCGCATCCCTGACCAGCCCCGCGCACGAACAGCCCCGCCCCTCGGGCACCTGCACTGATGGCTGATCCGCCCGTTGTCCTCGCTGCACAAGATCGGGATGCTTTATGGGCACGGGGCAGTCCCAGGCAGTTTCCCCGCGTCCCTAGTGCCAGATCAGCCTCACCCTACGGTCTGGTTTTCTACTTCCGCCAGTAGCGTGGCCACGCCTCCCAGGCACCCTTCTGGATTCTGGGCGGGGCTTTCTGCCTTTTGATCTTGGCCCCTCCCGTGTCAGGGGTGGGACCGTCAAGGAACGCCCAGCGTCTGGATGCGCTGCCTTCAGAGTAGGGGTAGTGTAAATGGTAAAGTCCTGAAAAGTAGAGACTGGCGCTTGTCCCTGGGGAGTGTTCTGCTGGCTAGTTTAGGCTAGCGGGTTTTGGCTTCCCTCAGGAACAAGAAACGGCCTTGCAGTGGCCTTACATCTCTTGCCAGCCTCCTGTACTCCTGGGGTCAGGAATTGTGTATTTTACTTCCGGATCTCAGGACAACCACGCCGGAAGCCGGAAGTAGGGGTTTCCATAGCGGGGAAGGGAAGGGCGGCCTCCGGACTGGGGACTTTCTCCGAGTGTCCCGGCCCAGGAAACTCTCGCAGCCCGCTGCTCCAGCCTTTCTCACGTCTGACCTACACTGGTGACAGGTGTGGTCCACTTCTTCCAAGACAGGGTTCCATCGGCGGGCGTTCTGCTGCCTCTGAAACGTCTTCTGATGTCCAGGCTTCTCCTGTTGGGCCCTACCGGTTCCGGCTTCGCGCTTCTAGAACACCAGGACCCAGGTTATTTGGGCGGCGAGTGGGACTGGTTCTGCTCCTCTCTTGCCGCGGCGGTCTCTGTCTCTCCATGTCTCTAGTGCGGAAACTCTTCTAGTCCTGAGACATTTCCTGTTCATCAAATTTGTGTGCACTTCAAGTCTTTAAAAAGGACTGGAGTATAGCTTGACAGCTAAGCGTCTTACCTCATGCGCCTCAGTTTGCTCACTTGCAAAACAATTACTATCTACCTGTCCTCATACCATTTCTGTGACCTGAGAACTAGAGGGTCGTCTTGGTATATTCTAGAAACACGGAGGAAGCGCACAGGGAACGTGGGCAGCATAGTTGGAGAGGGAGGAATGGGGAGACCAGATGGTATAGGGTCTTGTAGGCCTTTGACTTTTATACTGAGAGCAAGGGGGAGCCAAGGTAGGGTTCATGGTAGAGGAGGGATGTGATCTGAGTTACCTATTTTTGGTACTGGGGATTGAATCCAGAGGTACTCTACCACCGAGCTACATCCCCAGATCGTTTTATTTTTTTTTGTTTTGAGATAGGGTCTTGCTAACTTGCTCAGGCTAGCCTTAAACTTGCTATTCTCCTGTTGCAGCCTCTTGAGTACCTCTAGAGTATCTTAGATTACAGGTGTGCACCACCACACCAGCCTGAATTATTTTTTAGGCAGATCTTATAGCCACCGTGAGAACAATGGACTGTAGGGGGCAAGACTAGAACCAGGATGGTGTGTTAAGAAGTTATTGCAGTATTCCAGGTGTGAGAGACAATGGTGCTGTGAACATTTTATTATTAAAAATTTAAAAAATGTGGGCTGGGGATGTGGCTCAAGCGGTCGCACGCTCGCGTGGCATGCGTGCGGCCTGGGTTTGATCCTCAGCACCACATACCAACAAAGATGTTGTGTCCACCGAAAACTAAAAAATAAATATTAAAAAAAATTAAAAAATGTATTAAAGTGGAAAGATTAGTAAATTCCATATACCCACCTCTCACTTTACAATTATCAACTAGTAACTAAGTGTTTAATTTATACTCCTCAAAATTCTCTTCCGTTATTATTTTCCATAACACCTTTTTTGAGAAATAATTCACATGCTAAACAATTGACCTATTCAGCGTACAGTTCAATAGTTTGTAGCATATCTACTGATGTATAGCCATCACCATTATTTCCAGAACATTTTCATCACCCTAAAAAACAGCCCTGGGCCCTTTAAGCACCCTTCTGGCCTCACCTCATTTCCTTAAGTAGCCTGGAAACTGCTTTTTTTTTCCTCTGTGGATTTGTCCATTTTGTACATTTCTCATAAATGGAATCATACAACATGTGTTCTTTTGTGACTTGTTTCTTTCTCTTACCATAGTGTTTGGAAGATTTGTTTATGTTGTAGCATGTGGATGTACTAAATTTTGTTTATTAACCAGTTGATGGACATTTGGGTTGTTTCCATTCTTTTGCTGTTTTGAGTAATGCCACTTTGAGCGTTCATATGTGGATATATTTTCGTTTGTCTTGGGTATATACTTAGGAGTTCCCCATTTATTTATTTATTTGTTTATTTATTTATTTATTTGGTACTGGGAATCTAACCCAGGGGTGCTTTACCACTGAGCTACATCCATGACCTTTTAATGCTTTATTTATTTATTTTTTTTATTTTGAGACAGGGTCTCTGAGTTGCCAAGGCTGGCCTTCTAAGTTAGCCTCCCAAGTCACTGGATTACAGCTGTGCATCACCATGCCCAGTTCTCTCTTTATTTTTATTTATTTATTCACTTTTTTGTGGTGCTGGGAATCAAACTCAAGGTCTAATGGATGCTAGGCAAGTACTCTACCACTGACCTATATTCTCAGCCCTGAGAAGTTAGTTTTGAGAGGACTATTAGACATTCAAATAGGTATATCAAGTTTGATATGTGAGTCTGGAATTCAGAAAAGGGGTCTCTTTTTGGGTGTTATTTTGGAATGACTACAGGATTGAGTATAGTTAGAGAAGATAAGTGGTTCTAGGACAGCTCTGGGTACCCCTACATGAAGGTATGAAAACTTAGTGAAAGAGCCTGAGCAGGATCAGTCTTTGAAGTGGGAAGGACACCAGGAGACTGGGTTGTTAATGGAAGCCAAGGAAGAAAGTATGTGGAAAAAGATGGAGATGTCAGGTCAGCTGCTGTGTTTGGGTCAGTGGGGGTATAAGTGAGATGTTGTAAGTGCTAACAATCAAAACAGTCAAATTTTTTGGTACTAGGGATTGAATCCACGGGTACTTTGACACTGAGCTACCTCTGCAGATCTCTCTTTTTTGGGGGAGGGTTTACCAGGATTGAATTCATGAGCACTCGACCCCTGAGCCATATCCCCAGCCCTATTTTGTATTTTATTTAGAGACAGGGTCTCACTGAGTTGCTTATTGCCTCGCCATTGCTGAGGCTGGCTTTGAACTTGTGATCCTCCTGTCATTTTTATTTTTATTTTTTTGAGACATGGTCTAAGTTGCTGACGCTGGCCTCAAACTTGGGATCCTCCTGTTCCAACTCCTGAATCACTGGGATTGCAGGTGTGCACCACTAGCCCAGTAAAACAACCAGATTTAATCAGTGTTAAAGTCAACATTCCTAGCATCAGGCCTGCTGCTGGAAACTTACATTGGGATTGACCTCCACTTCCTGGTAATCAGTCTTCTTGGGTGGATATGAAATGGTGGATCTGGTACTGCTCCTCATGGTCTATATCTAAACTCAAGCGAACAAGAGCAGCTCACCTACTCTGCTTTGCTGTCTCAGGTCCTGCTCTCTATTTCAAATTTCTCAGTACATGTCAGACACTAGAAGTCTCTTCTTACCTTTATCTTCCCAACTCTAGGGAACACTCCTTAGACCTAGCATGGTATTCTTGAAGCCCCTCTTCTGTGTATGAGTTTCTGTGACTGCCATAGACGTGACAAGAAACTGGGTGGCTTCAAATAACAGAAATTTAATCTCTCAGTTCTGGAGGCTAGAAGTTCAAAATCAGAGGGTGAACAGGCCATATTCTCTCTGCAAGTTCTAGGAGAAGATCCTCCCTTGTCTTTTCTAGGTGCTGGTGGTGCAATTGTTCCTGGCTTGTTCTCACATCACTCCCGTCTCTACATGGCTTCCTCCCTGTGTGTTTCCCTTTGTTTTCTACTTTTTCTTCTCTCTCTTATAGGAATCCTTGTTATTGGAATCAGGGTCCACCCATATAACCCAGGATAATATCATCTTGAGATCCTTGATTAAACTACATCTGCAAAGACCGATTTTCCAAATAAAGTCACATTTATAGGTTTCAAAGGTTAGGGCATGGCCATATCTTTTTTTTTCTTTGTAGCAAAGGTTGAAGCCAGGGATGCTTTATCACTGAGCCACATTCCCAGCCCTTTTATTTTTATTCTGAGACAAGGTCTTGTCAAGATTCTGAGGCTCTTGGCTAAGTTGCTGAGGCTGTCCTTGAACATGCCATCCTCTGACCTCAGCCTTCCAAGCTGCTGGGATTATAGGCATGCTCTACTGCACCTGGTCATGGTCATATCTTTTTTGGGGGCTATTATTCAACTTATCACACTAGGTGAGGGTAAGAGGCCTTGACCCTCCACTTCTTAGAAGTGTGAGAAGGGATAGGGTAGGATTCCCAGAATACTGGCATTTGCCATCTATAAATAATCCTCTCCCTTTGGATTTTTGTGTTTTTTTTTTTTTTTTTCCTGTAGTGGGGATTGAACCCAGGGCCTTGTGCATGCTAGGTAAGCACCGTACCATTGAGCTGTATCCCCAGTCTTAATCCCCTCCCTTTGGAGTGGGAATGTGTGCTACCTCAGACCAAAACTCCATTTCAGCATCTGGTTATACTAGATGAAGTGGTTGGCATTTTGCTGCAAATATGGGCCCAGAGCTTCTGCACAGAGTAACCACCTTGTTCTGCTGGGTAAGAGAATGCTGTATGGTGTCATGTGATGCCTGCTTTTCTTTTCCAGACACTGACTTGTTGGATGAGCAGGCATCTCTGGAAGAATCAGCTGTGTGAGATGGTGCAGCCCAGTGGTGGCCCAGCAGGGGACCAGGACGTGCTGGGTGAAGAGTCTTCTCTGGGAAAGCCGGCCATGCTACATCTACATTCAGAGCAGGGCATCCCTGAGACCCTCCAGCGCTGTCTAGAGGAGAATCAAGAGCTCCGAGGTGGGTCCAGTGGTTGGGGTGGTGGGGTGGAGTGGAGTGAAAAGTTAGGAGGTCCAGCCTTTGCTGAGTGGAACGTTTATTCCTATCACCTGTACCTTCATGTTTGTTAGGTCTGGATGGGTATGTGCCTGAGAGCATACCCAGGTGGTCTCTAGTTAGCATTTCAAGCTTAGCCATCCTCTGGCTTGGTTTCAGTTGGGGTTTGCTGGAAGTACATTTAGGTGCAAATTATTGTGCAGGATTAGTGTGTATTTTTTATTTTGTTAGCAGAGATTGAACCCAGGGGTGCTTAACCACTGAGCCACATTCCCAGAACTTTTTATATTTTATTTACAGATAGGGCCTTGCTAAGTTGCTGAGGCTGGCTTTGACCTTGTGATCCTCTGGTCTCAGCCTACTGAGCTGCTGGGATTACAGGTGCACGCCACTATGCCTGGCTCAGGAAATGTGTTTAGAGTGTTCTTAGGACTGATATTGGGAATGAGAAGGATAGGGAAAAAAGCAAGGCTGGGCAGAGGGAGAAGTGGGCTATGAGTACAGGGAACTCTGGAGCTGGAATGACCTTTTCAAGTTGAGCCAAATTTGGCCAGGTCTCTGTATCCATGCAATGATCAATCATTAACTATTGTTGATCCTGGAAGTGGGCAGTACCAGATTCTGTGGGTGGGGCTTGGCTCTTGGCTGGGACAGTGGCTTTCTGGAGCAACTGAGGCAGTCCTCTGGAGGCCTCAGCAGAAAGCCTTCTGTCCTCTAGTGTGGCTGGGCACCAATGTTTTCTGGGTCAGCATCCATGTCTCCATGAAATTTCTCCTTATCCTTGTGCTGCTCAGCTTCACTGGCTTTCAGAGAGCAGATGCACATTCCCACCTGCCTCCCACCAAGTGGAACATCCTTGTCTCCCCTCCCCTCATCCTTTTCCTTCCAGCTCATGATCATGCCACCTGGGTTTTGGGGGTAGTCTTCCTCCTTTGGCCTGCTAGTCCTTTGGTTTGAGTGGGCCCCAAGTACCCAGGTGGCCTCTAGTTAATTAGGACACTTGCTGTAGGGACTTTGAAATGGCCTGGCTCACAGTTGCTGGGGGAGGGAGAGGCACTGGGAGTGGTGGGGCACCCAGCACTTTTTGTTGTCACTCTGATTCCCAAATGTGTATTATTTTTTTTCTCTTTTTGGGGATTGAACCCAGGGGTGTTTTATCACTGAGCTATAAGCCTAGACCTTTTTATTTTTTAATTTGAGACAGAGTCTCTCTAAGTTGCCCAGGCTGGCCTAGAACTTGCCATCCTCCTTAAAGTGAAGCTCACACGTTTACTGTGGTATTGCAGAAACTTACGGGCATATCATTAGTAGTTGATTTTGAAAGTGTTTAAAAAAATGAAGGGGAGTGTTTAGAAGCCATCTATCTTAGGGAGAGGTCACCTAGTATTATGGGAGGGTGCTGTGATGGTTAGCCCAGCTTCAGACCTTGGGCCTTGTAGGCCTCATACCTGTGTAAGCTCCGGCAGGGGCTGGTGCTCCAGGCTGCCTGACTCTCAGGACTCACCTCCCCTTTGCTGTCTCTTATGCCCCCAGATGCAATCCGGCAGAGCAACCAGATGCTGCGGGAGCGCTGTGAGGAGCTGTTACATTTCCAAGTCAGCCAGAGGGAAGAGAAGGAGTTCCTCATGCACAAATTTCAGGAGGCTAGGAAGTTGGTGGAGAGACTGAGCCTGGAGAAGCTGGACCTGAGAAAGCAGAGGGAGGAGGCCCTGAAGGAGGTGGAGGACCTGAAGTTGTGTCAGCAGGTAGGTAGCAGGCAGGGCAGGCTCTTTTCTTGGAGCTTGGGGCTGTAGTTATACCTGCATACTGTTTTTTTTTTTTTTTTTTTTTTTTTTTTTTACCAGGAATTGAACCCAGGGGCACTTAACCCCCGAGCCACATCCCCCTCTCTTTTTATTTTTTTATTTTGAGACTGAGTCTCACTAAGTTGATGAGGCTGGCCTCAAACTTTTAATCCTTTTGTCTCAGCCTCCTGAGTTGCTGGGATTACAGGTATGGACCACTGTGCCTGGCTTTCACCTATGTTCTGTAAACCATAGGGACACCAGTGTTCCCACAAGGAGCCCATGGTCAGGGGTCCCCCAGAGCACCCTCAGGCTTGATTTGCAGGACTCACCTGAGAAAATCCATCGTACTCACAGCTACAGCTTATTACAGTGGAAGGATATAGATTAAAGTCAGCTGAGGTTCAAGGTGCATAGAGTAAGGACCAGGAGAGGCCAGTGTGAGCTTCTAGGTGGCCTCCCAGGGAGCATTGCAGACAGTGCTTGCTTCTCTTATTAGCCATGTGGAACAATGTACACGGAGTATAGTCAGCCAGGAAGCTCACTTGGTCCCTGGTGTCTAGGGACCAAGAATGAATGAATGAAAGTGTCAGGTTGGGGGAAGGGCCCAAGTGAAAAATGACAGAGTGTCAGTGTCTAAATGACGAGGCCAGTGTGTCTGGGGTTTTATTGGGGTCAGTCGTGTAGGCGTTGAGCACCATAGTTGGTGACCTGGGTGGTTCAGGCACCAGCCACCCCAAAGTTTATCCAGTTCCATGTGGCACAAGGCCCCCACCCACATCATGGCATCAGCATAGATTACCTGGCTTGGGCCCTAAAACCCAGGTGAACCAGACATGCTCATCAGGCAGGATGTTCAAGGGCCTTAGAGGTCATCCTCTAGGAGCCAGGCAGGACCCAGACTCGACTTTGGGAGGTTCAGGCTGTTGCCACCTTGTGGACCTGTGAGTTGGCTCTTCAGTGTACTGTCCCCAAAGGATGGCATGCTTACTGTGGGCTGAGGAGGGTGTTTCAGGGCCTTTCTGGCTTGGCTGCTCTCAAGATCCTGGGACAATAGTTGAGCAGGATATGTGCTGTCCGGGAAGGGCAAGGTGGGGGCATGGGAGTGGGGGGCACCTGATGCAGGCAGACTGCCAGCCCTGGAGGAAAGGCATATGCTGTGTGCCTCACTACTGGGAACTTCTGGCTCAAGGTGCTTGTTTCTCATTTGTGGAGGTGTAAAGAGTTTGCTAGGGCTGCGGAAGCAGAGTACCACACACTGGGGGCTTAAACAACAGATCTGTTTTCCCCCAGTTCTGGAGGCCAGGAGTCTGAGTTCAAGATGTGGTCAGGGTAGATTCCTTTTGAGGACTGCAAGGGAGAATCCATTCAAGGTCCTCTCCCAGTGTCTTGTGGCTCCTGGCAGTCGTTGGTGCTCCTTGGCTGGCAGCTGCATCTCTTCAGTGTCTGCTTCTGTCATCATGTGACCTTCTCTCTGTGCATTTCTTTTTATAAGAACACCAGTGTAAAACAAAGGTGGGCATTCCTTGTAACTGTGAAAACAGATTTTGTTCAGTAACTGTTGTCAGTAGGGAAAAGAGCTGAGCTCTATAGTTGACCAGTATTTTAAAGAGAGAATGGTGGCTAGGATGTAGCTCAGTGGTAGAGAGTGTACTTAGCATGCATGAGGCCTGAGGTTCCAACCCTAGCATTGAAAGAGAGGGGGCAGACTATGAATGAATTAGAGTGTCAGGTGGGGGGAAGGGCCCAAGTGAAAAATGACAAAGGGTATCAGCATCCAGGTGATGAGGCCAGTGTGTCTCTGAGGTGGCAGTTAATAAAGTTAGGATAATGTTCTCCCAAAGAGACTGGGAGAGTGTGGAAACATCTTTTTTGATGATTCCATTTCAAAGGAATAGCTCTTAAGTCCTTGAGGTAGACACTGATAGGTTGTAGAAGATACACAGATATCTGAGACAGAGGAAGGAATCATAGTTGACAATTCTTGTAGTAAATGCTCCAAGAAAGGTCAGTGATCTATGTTAGGTGTTGGCCAGAATAGATAGTTCTTTTAACAGCTGTGAGCATTTCCATACAGCATCTGGGAAGCTGCCTGGTGCATCTCACTAGCATGGCCTTAGGCTGTTGAAAGCCCTATTAAAGTTTGATTAAGTGTGTGTGTGTGTGTGTGTGTGTGTGTGTGTGTTTCTCTCTCTCTCTCTCTCTCTCTCTCTCTCGGAATTGAATCCAGGGCACCACTGAGCTATGTTATTTTATTTTGAGACAGGATCTCACTAAGTTGCCTAGTCTAGCCTTGAACTTGCCATCTTCCTCCTCAGCTTTCCTAGTTGGATTAAGTCTCTTAAATGCAGGGTTTGAATGGAGTGTTTGCAGAAAGTCCCCCTACCACCACTGAACTACATCCCCAGACCTTTTCATTTATTTTTTGAGTCTTGCTAAGTTGCTGAGGCTGGCCTTAGACTTGCCTTCCTTCTGCCTCAGCCTCCCAAGTTACTGGGATTACAGGCATGTGCCACTGTGCACAGAGAGTTTTTGTTATTAGTATTTAAAAAGATTCAGTATCCACTCTTGCTTTGTGAAACCTCCCACCTTCTAAGGGCCCTACGCCCACAGACTAGGATTGTATTTTTGTTGCTGTTCAAGTCTTGCCTCCTTTGGCATGGACTCTCAAAGATAAGAGGGCTTGCCTGCTGGGGCCATAGTCACATGGCCTCCAGGTTCAGCCCTTATGGTCTGGTGGCCAGGGTAGTACCTGAGCTTTCAGGAGCCACACAGGACTCCAGATACCTCTATGCTCCTGTGTCTCTTTGGGGTCCCGTGTTCCCCATCCACAGGGATGCAGGAAGGACTAGGAGGCATGGACTCTTGGGACTTGATCCCTTCACATTGCCTCAGTTGCCTTGCTAGGTTGGGTAGCTGCTGGAGGTGAGGCATGAGATGAGTTGGGGAGGGATGGGAAGAGACTGGTAAATATATCTCATCCAGTAGCAAGGGTCAAGGTGGACCACCGGGGAAGGTCAGGTGGCCATCACACTCATGAGGCTCTGGGGTGTCTGGGTTTGGAAAGTGATGAGGGCAGGAGAGAAGCCCTGAGGGTGCACATGCCTCAGTCATTTGCAGGTTGCCCTAGGGACTGGGGATGCCAGGAGTGGGAAGCTGGGCAGAAAGTAGCACTAACAGGAGGTGACCTTTTCTCCTATAGCAGATGGCTGAGGACAAGGCCTCTGTGAAAGCCCAGGTGACATCCTTGCTGGGGGAGCTCCAAGAGAGCCAGAGTCGCTTAGAGGCTGCCATCAAGGAACGGCAGGATTTGGAGGGCAGGTGAGTGGGGAGGGAAAGCCAGTCCTGGAGGCCACTTCCAGGGTTTCAAATGAGGAGGGTGTAGAAGCCTCTGGGGATTCCTCTGGGGATGAGAGGGCAGATGTCTGTTATGGCAGATTTGTGACAGTTCTGGTCCAGGTATCCAGGATATGGCTCCTAGCTATTACTTCTAGGCTTTCCAGTCCTTTGCTAGGGTTTGTGTTATTTCCTTTGGAGGCTTTTCATGGGCCCCTAAGGCCACACTCTGATAGGTGATTCTCTGGAAGCACTCCCAGGACCCAGCACATAGTTGCCTTCCAGGCTGAGGTTTATCACAGGGGAAGGATGCACCGTGGGATCCTCTAGTATAAGATCCCTAGCTGAAGACTGGAGAAGCCTGCCTCAGGCTCTCTGTGTACCCCTCTGAGGTATACAGAGAAACCACTTCCCACATGTGCCTAATGGAGATAGCACCTTGGGTTTCTTCTGGGGGCTATTCATGTTGGCACCCTTTCCAAGGCACATACTAAAATTCCTGACTCCTGGCAGAATGTGTGGGTGCTCACCTTAGTGAATGTTGTTTATACAGAGTTTGGGCACAGGAGCCACCCTTAGCAGCAGGGAAAGCATCAGAGCAGTGCAGGGAACTTGTACCGGCTGAGGGCCAACCTTGAAAGCTAGCTGCCTCAGGCCTGCCTATTATTCTTTTGCAAAGTGAGTTTGGTCATTTTAAGTGGGATCATTTGGTCAAAGTGCAGGGATGGTGCTGTGGTTCTTATACTGCCCTGCTGCTGCCCTCCAGACATTTGGATGCAGCTGACATGGTGGCCTCAGTCTTCTTAATGCAGTATTAAGGTGGTCATTGTGCACATGGGGTAGTTGTCAGGGAAACCTTTCTGCAGAAGAGGGTAACTAGACTCCAGTTCAGAAAGAGCTGGTGGTGGAGGTGAAGAGGAAGCATGAGCAAAGGCAGAAGTGGAGAAGGCCTGATAGTTCAGGCCTGCCTTGTGAGAGTTGTGGTGACCTTCAGCTGGAGGCTACCACTGGGCCACATGGAAACATCCACCATTGGTGCTGCAGTGGGGGCTTTTTTTGTTTGTTTGTTTTTTATGTGATACTGGGATTTGAGCTACATCCCCAGCCCCTTTTATCTTTTATTTTGAGACAGGGTCTTGCTAAGTTACTGAGGCTGGCCTGTACTTGAGATCCTCTTGCCTCAGCCTCCCAAGTTGCTGAGATTATAGGCATATGCCACTGTGCCTGAGTAGTGGCTATTGAAGGCCCTGGGGCAGCAGGATAATGAGGCTGGAGCTTGGAAATTGGAGATTAAGGAAGCTGTGAGGCTCAGATCAGAGGATTTGGGGATCATGGGGTGATTAAGGTGAGATAGCCTGAGTTGTTGTAGTGAGATGGAGAGAGAAATTCCCTACCAGGGCCATTGGTGTCATGTCCTGTCTTACAACTCCCTGTGATCCAGGTGTGGAAACTGAGCCTGCAAACAGCTGGGACTCCAGCTGAGCTGTGGGCAGCAACAGGGCTGGAGCTGAGCTCTGGTCTGCTGTTGAGCTCAGTGTTTGCATTCTCAGGTGGGCAGTCTCCCTATTTTTTCTAGAATAGTCTGTCCTGACACCCCTTCCCTGAGACTGCTCTTGTTGAGGCCCCAGCACCTTCCTGGAGGTTCCTCTCATATTGTAGTGGGCAGCTTGGGATGCAGGTGGCCCATCCTTTTCTCAGTTCACCTCCTTCTCTTGGCTTTTAGTCTCCTAGCCATCTGCACTTGGTTGTTTCCTGGGCCCCTATACTGGAGCAAATTCATCAGGTGGAGCTCCTTATCATCTGTTCTCCACCTGGCTCCCAGTCTTCTTTCCTATTTTTGGTGGCAGTGCCTCCACTCTGCCACCCAGAGTCAGCATGCAGTCACAGGGTGTTCAGAACCTAACCCCTTGCCCATGCTGTCCTTCTTGATGCCCCCTCAATGTGTTCTTCCTCCCTGTGCCAGGGTGCGGGCCGCCAGTGAGCAGGCCAGGCAGCTGGAGAGTGAGCGGGAGGCACTGCAGCAGCAACACAGTGTACAGGTGGACCAGCTGCGCATGCAGAGCCAGAGTGTGGAGGCCGCCCTGCGCATGGAGCGCCAGGCTGCCTCGGAGGAGAAGTGAGTTGGTGTGGAGGGGTGGTACTGGGGGTTGCCAATGGGCCTGTGGCTTTTCCTGCCTTCTGGGGAGACCTCGTAGGGACTGGCTGTGGATGAGGGTTGACTCTCCCCCTTAGCCTTGCTAATAGTAGAGTCCATTGTTATCATAGTCAAATAATTCATCTTTGAGACTGGACAAAAAATTTTTCTTTGGTAATGGAGATTGAACCCAGGGGTGCTATATCACTGGCTGACTCTATATCCCCAGTCCTTTCTTATATTTTTTTTGAGACAGGGTCTTGCTAAGTTGCTGAGGCTGGCCTCAAATTTGCCATCCTTCTGCCTCAGCCTCCTGAGTCACTGGGATTATAGACATGTACCACTGCACCTGGCTAAGACAAAAATATTATCTTTGGTTCAGTCCACATTCATATTTCCCTTTCTCCATATGTTTTTGCCAGCCCTTCTACTGCTTTCTGGTCTAGGATCCCAAGTTCCTTTCCTTGGCATGCCTTTTCAGTGTCCTTTAATCTAGAACACTCTCCCAGCCTTTCTATGCTTTTCATGAAGTTGACAATTTTGAAGATTACAGGATAGTTCCACTTTATGACAAACATTATTAATTTTTTTATTGTTTTGCAATACTGAGGATGGAACCCAGGGCTTTGCACATGCTAGACAAGCACTCTACCACTGAGCTACACCCCTAGTTCTTATTATAAACATTTAAAATTGTTGGCTTTAAGGAAACTGATAGGAACTATTGAGTAACCGAGTCAGTTGCAGTGAATATTTGTTGTCAGCAAAGCCTGCCTCAGAGTTGATGACCTTAGGAGTCCAGATGTACCCTTGGAAGGCCCCATTCCAGGTTTGTGATATGACAAGAATTAAGAGGGTAGAGCTGGAGGCAGGGAAGCCATGCCTAGGCTGGGACAAAGTGGTTTCTCCAATGAAAGCTCCTTTTCTGGGCAGGAGGAAGCTGGCCCAATTGCAGGTAGCCTATCATCAGCTCTTCCAAGACTATGACAACCACATCAAGAGTAGCATGGTGAGCAGCGAGCGCAAGCGAGTGAGTATGGCCAGCCTGCGCTGTCTTGAGAGGACTTCACCTCTTCCTGTCTCCCCAAAGACAGAGAAGATCACAGTTCTTGAGACCTGAAAGAATTAGATTTTGGGGGGGGGATACTTGACTTGCCCTAGACCTTCCTCAGGCTGCAGCTGTGACAGTTCAGAGAAGGCCACAGGGATATGGGGCACATTGCCAGGCCCCAGGGTGGGCTGGCCTAGGGACACATTCAGCCCTCACCAGTGTAGTTCTTGGCTAAATTTTCCCTGAGCCAGGAAAAGCTCTAGTGTTGATTGTATCCCAGCATGGAAAGAGAGCCGAAAGCTGTTTTCCAGTTTGTCCTCACGAGACCTAAACTGGGTGCGGTTTTAGCAGTCACATTTTAAGAAGGATATTGTCAACCACAGATGTACCCTGCGGAGATTTATGAGGATTAAGCCTGAAACCAGGTCACCTGAGGAAAAGTTAGTTACAAAAATGGCACTTAATCTCTGGAACAAAATCCTGGCAGGGAGGCGGGGTGTCAGGGGAGTGGAGGAAGTGTGTATGTGTGTTTATGGGGAGGGGTGTCTGTGTGGGATGAGCAGACCTTTGATCAGATGGCTGAGTGGAAGGACTCACGGATTGAGGCTTAGATGGTGGGTCTGTAGTTGGTAGCATATGGAGTGGGCAGCCTCAGGATGGAGTGTGGCTCTTGTCCTTAAAGGGTTGAAGGATTCTGTGAAGGGAATGAGTACCTTGGTGGGAGGCTGAACCAGATGGCCTCAGAGTTCTCCTCAATCCCAAGATCCTTAATATGTCTTGAGAAAAAACCTCAGCATTTCTTCCGCCCTGTGGGGAAGTACCAGGATGCAGCTTTCTTGCATACGTTGAGATCTTGTGATTGGCCCTGAAGTCCAAGGAGCTGGTGTTGTCCCAGCTTTGGCCAGCCAGGGCTCCCTTTTGTCCTCAATTCTCACTCGAAGCAGTGGCCTACCTGGGTAATGGCTCCACCCTGCCCTGTTCTGGGAGGCTCTGTCAGTGCCCTTTGCCAATCTCTAGGGAATGCAGCTGGAGGATCTCAGGCAGCAGCTCCAGCAGGCTGAGGAGGCCCTGGTGGCCAAGCAGGAAGTGATTGACAAACTAAAGGAAGAGGCTGAGCAGCATAAGATTGTGATGGAGACGGTACCAGTCCTGAAGGCCCAGGTGAGGTCTCTCCTCCTTGCTGCGATCCTTGACCTCCCAGTGTGCTTGGGGTTACTTGCTGATGTATCTGCTCCCTCTGTGTTGCCAGAGGTTCACAGAGGGCATGAGGAGGTTTCACTTTGTTACCCCAGGCCTATCATGATGTGCCCAATGGGTGGTGGGCATGTCCCTCTCTTGAATTTTGCCAGGCGGATATCTACAAGGCAGACTTCCAGGCTGAGAGGGAGGCCCGGGAGAAGCTGGCTGAGAAGAAAGAGCATCTGCAGGAGCAGCTGGAGCAGCTGCAGCGGGAGTACAGCAAGCTAAAAGCCAGCTGCCAGGAATCAGCCAGGTAGGCCGCCAAGAGTGGCCATGTGAGGAGGGGGCGTAGCACTCGGCAGTGACCAGTAGTAATTGCAGGAGACTGATGACTCCTGGCTTTCAGATTAGGTTCCCTGTACTTCCCTTTCCTCTCCGTCCACCCTATCCTTCCAATGGCCTTTTCTGCTGCTCCAGGTAGGAGCCTCACAAAAATGCATGCATTGATTGGACGGTTTCTGTTTTCAAAGGATCGAGGATATGAGGAAGCGGCATGTAGAGGCCTCCCAGCCCCCTTTACCCCCTACCCCAGGTGAGTGAGTGAGCATTGTTCTGCAGGAGGTGGGTGGGGAGGGTGGTGTACCGCTCTAGAAGAAGGCTCATTTCAGCCCTGAAGGTGGGTATCCCTGCTGCTCCCATCACTCACCCCACCCTGCCCCACCCTGAGGCCAAGGGGAGAATGTGGTGGTAGTGCTGGCTCCTGGTCACACAGTGGTGTTGATCCTAATGGTTGAACATGGCAGTCCTATCCAGTTTTGGCACCTTGTCAACCTCCCCTTCCCTCTGATTAGTACCCAGTTTGTACCCAAGACCCACTTCCTGGTGCCTCTTTTCTTTTCTCAGCTCACCACTCCTTTCATCCGGCTGTACCCAACCAGAGGAGAAGCCCCCCTGAGGAGCCACCTGACTTTTGTTGTCCTAAGTGCCAGTACCAGGCTCCTGATATGGACACCCTACAGATACATGTCATGGAGTGCATCGAGTAGGGCCAGCAGATGCAAGGCTGCCTGAAGACGCCACACCCAGGACAATTCGATTTGTGCTTTCCTCTCCCACCTGCCTAATTCAGAATTAAGGGTTTGGTGGATAATGAGCAGGTCCTAGGAGCTTGCTGCAGAGCTCTTGCTTAAGCCCCTTGGTCTGCAGGTCCCCCCTTTGAGGGAAGATGAAGCCTGAGTCAGACCTGATTCTCTGCTCTTTTCCTTCTGTCCTATCTGCCTGAACTGCCTGTGTCTGGTGGCTAATCCATCCTTCCTTTCCCATCCCTGCAGAGAGGTTGGGCCAGGGACTCTCAGGGAGGACCACTTTTCCTTCCATTGGCTACTGACTTGCTGGCTCTGAGCTTCAGCCTCTCCTCCTGGGCCGTGTGATACTCCACTTTGCAGCTGTATCAGGGTTGGTTGAACCAGTTGCTGCTGATGGCATTTGGGTTGTTTGTAGTCCTTTTGCTCTCATAAATAATGGTGCAACGAAAATGCTTATGCACTAATCATGTGTGTCTTTGCTAAGCAAGAGGTGGGTAGACCTTTGTATTTTTGCCACCTGCTGGGCATGCCACTCTTCACTAAGAGTGAGCTTAAGCATATTTTCCAAGGGGTATGTACCCTTTTTAATTCTTTTGTGAATGGGCTGTACATATCTTTTATCCATTTTCCTATTAGATTGTTATTTTTTGTTCCTCATTTTTTTAGGGGCTCTTTTGTCATTGGCAAGATTAGCTCTTGTCTATAACAGAAAGTGCATGTTTCTTTTTCCCTTTGATTTTGTCAGTGTAGTGTTCTGGCCTTGAGTATTTTTTATTTTACATAGTCACATTATCCTTTTCCCCATTACATTATTTTGGGTTTGGAGTTGTGAGCACTTTGTGGTCTAATGGATGCTTCACACGCATATACTTTACTTTTTCTAACACCAAAGTGTGCCCTTGTCTTTGCCAAGCACTTATTGTCCAGTGTGAGTGGTTGTTGTGGTTCGTCACATTCTAGAAGTGTCTGATGCTGTATCAGCCCCAGATTCCTTGGCTTTACAGATGGAAGCCAGTTGACAATGATTGGCAGATGAGGAAGAATAGGGAACTCTTCACTTGTTTTGTAAAGTTCTGGATATTTCTTAGCATATTGAAGCCATGGGAACTAACTCTGCAATTCTAGTAAGGGAAAGGAAGTTGGAAATTGAGAAACACTCCAGTATCTATGCATCGTTCACTTCTCAGTCCTGGGCCCTCCTTCCCTCAGCCCTCCAAGCTCCCTTGTTAGGAATGAGATGTAGATCTATCCCTGGGCTTTTTCACAGGGCTTTCTGCTGTTTGATAGTAAGAAGAATGACTAGAATTAGGATATTAGGACTTTTAAAAATAAGCCTCAGCTGGGAGCTTTCTCAGCATCTATAGGAAGTGGGGAAAAACTTTTCTATTTCCTAATGCCCACATATCTATCACACAGTACTTTGGGGAAGTGTTAAATGCCCAGGCAGGTTCTCTGCTCATGGTACTGCACTTAAATCCTATTCCTGTAACTTTTCTGTAAGAGCACTATTTTGTTTTGGAGTGGTGCATGAGTTTCTGGTGGTTGCTCTAACAGATCACCACAAACTTGGTGCCATTAAACAACAAAACTTATTTTTTCATTTCTTGGAAGCCAGATACCTGAAGTCAAGTTGTTTTTTTGGAGCTCTGAGAATAAGTTCTGGGCCTGTTTCCTAGCTTCTGGTGGTTGCTGACAGTTCTTGGCTTGTACACCCATTATTCTTATCTTTGCTTCTTTGTCACATGGCCTCTTCTATGTTTTCTGTTTCTTTTAAGGATACCAGATATTGGATGTGGGGTCTATCGGGGTAATTCAGTATGATCTCCTCATTTTGATACCCCTACCTTCACTACATCTATAAAGACCCCTTTCCCCAAAAAGGCCACATTCACAAGTTATTGGAGTTTGGACTTACACTTATCTTTTTGGAGCCACCATTCAACCCAGTATGAGTTTATCTGATTCAGATGTTAAAGATCAGGGCAAATGCAACCCAAAGGCAGGTAACTCTAAGACCTGCAGATCTGCTGGCAGGACTTGGTCCCCAGGGTGGTGGTAGCCACCAAGCTGCAGAATTTGGTGTGGATTAACTCGGGGGACATCTTGTCTCCAGGTGGACACCACTGCCAGGGCCAGCAGGTATGGCTGGGAGAGGCAGATAAGGTAGGTTGCAGTAGGACCTTTTGCACCCTGTGTAGTGGCCACTAGCTGTGTAAGGACAGGTTTCATGCTTTTCAGGAGGGTGAACAGAGGCGTGTAGGAGCTCCTTCCTGATGAGCACCCTCTTCTGAAAGGGGCATAGAAAGAAGGTGAGACCCAAGGACACTGAGGAACTTTACCAGGTGGATTATACAGCAGAGTTATCTGCAAGCCTGAAAAACACTCTGGCCTGGGCCCCCTGGACTGGTTGAGTCAGAATCAGGATGAGACCTGACTGGTTAGGACTCAATATGTTTTCCAGAGGCTGAGTGCCCTTGTTATGTGCTTCCCCCTTAGTGCTGTGAAGGTTTTGCCACATATTAGACCAAAGGTTTTGAATCCTACCATTTGCCCAGACATAGGGCATTCTACTTTCTTCTTTTCTGGCCTTACTCAGGTTGGGCTTGTGGAACAACTGATTGTTCCTCCCATGAGGGAACCAGCCTGCCTTATTAGTTGAGGCCCATAAATCCATACAGCTGGAAATATGTTCTACCCAGAACCCATGACATTACCTTGTTGCTCAGGCATGTGTCCACTCCTCTCTTGGCTAAAGTCCAAGGGAAATCCAGACAGCCAATAAGCAGAGTACAAGAGTATTCCCATGCACTAGTAACCAAAACAACACGAACACAAACAATAAGCAAAAATGGTGTCAAACTAGAAACAGATGCAGTACTATGTGTAGGGCCCTGCTGAACAGGTGTGACATAGGCTTTACGATGGCATGCCTTATGAGGGGGCTGTTTGGTGAGTTGAAGCAAACATGTGAGAAGCATCCTCAGCTTTCTTCATCCTAAGACAGCAACTTGCACATTATCATCTGGCTACCAATGGCTGGTACATCCAGCATTTTGAACATCTTGCATATGGGTTGTGTTCTTTAGTATGTTGGTGTGGAAAGGTCAGGGGATGAAGTTATGTATAATGTGTGAAATGAAGCAGAAACTCCCAAGTGTACATCCTGCTGTCATTTGGATGGATACAGTATTAGAATTACTAGTAATGAAAAGGTTCCTCCCCATCATTCCCTGTTGTCACATATTCTTCCTTTGTGTCAGTCTCCTCTCTATAGGGACACCAGTGTCAAAAGAGATGGACAGACATTCATTAAAGCTGTGACAGTAGGGGAAAGAGCTGAGCTCTGAGCCAATCTGCAGAGATGACTTTGTTAGAAGGGAGACTCGGGCCAGAGTAGCATCAGAGTCCTGAGTATTGAGCTGCAGCCAACCAGATGACTGATGCCTGGCTGTGGAGGGGCAGTGGAAGAGGAATTAAGGGCCGCTCCTGGACTTTTGGTTTAAACTGTGTATGCTGGGCCACCTATCAAGATTGGGACAAGGGAAAGGGAAGGTCAAAGTTAGGGGAGGGCTTTAAAGTCCACTTTGGCTTCAGCCAGGCTCCGTGTGAAATCCTCCTCAGTCCATGTTTTTCCTGGACTATTATGGTGTTGTCCTCACTGATTTCACTTGAGACTGCAGGCTCTCCAGTCTGTTTCTTTCACAGCAACCACAGTGATCTGGTAAATCTGTGTTTCTACTTTGTTTAATAATCCAGTGGTTTTCTGTTACTCCTCTTTTTGGTGCTGGAGGATTGAATCCAGGGGTGCCCTGCCACTGAGCTATATCCACAGCCCCTTTTTCTTTTTATTCTTTTTGAAAGAATAAAACTTAGTGAGACACAGCCCCCTCATAAGGCATGCCATCATAAAGCCTGAATCTCACTAGGTTGGTGAGGCTGGCCTTGAACTTGCCACCTTCCTGCCTTAGCCTCCTGAGTACCTGCGACTTCATGTATGTGCCACCACACCCAGCTTTCTCTTACTCATGAGACCTAAATTCCATCCTTAGCCTTATGCTGCTTTGACCTCATTTCATGTCCTTTCCCTGCTGGCCCAGTCACACCACACTGTTCTTTTTCCTCCTTTCCTCAAACATACAACACTTCTGTGTCTTAAGGCCTTTGTCCTCTACTATCACCCCTCCCCTCCCCTCCCCTCCCCTGAACAGCCAACAATAAAAAATTAAAAAAAAAAAAAAAAAAAAAAAAGGCCTTTGTCCCTGTTGTCCCTTCTGCCAGGAAGACTCTGACCTGTAATCTTTGTGTAATTGCCTTCTTTTTGTCATTCAGCTCTGAATGTAAACATCACCTCCTTCATCTGAAGTCTTAATCCTAGATCACGTTGCCTTGTTTTAATTCTTGGCTAGACAGTTAAAGTGACCTATTTTCTGCTTTGTTTCTGCTCTCCCTCTAGTGGAGGGAGAGCAGAAGCCTCATCCGTCCTAGTCAGGCAAAATCCCTAGAACAGTGCTCAGCACGAAGTGACAGTGCATGTTTATTGATGGTATGAGCTTGTCTCACACTGTTATCAGTATTGCTCTGTCAGTATTTTTGTGGACATCACCTGTCTATAAATGGTGGTTGCTGGAATTTACTATATTAATATGATAGAAACTATAGCACTGAAAACCTATTTTAGGCAATGGGTGACTACCTGTGGGGGGACTTCTTAAAAACATTTAAACAGTTTGTTCAGAATTTGAATGTCTAGATCATGTTGGCCTTATCATGAATAGGCAAGAACACAGACTGAGACCACATGGACACGTCCTGCTCTGCCCCTCACTTAATTTCTCTGAGCCTTGAGGTAATGGCATGCACTTAGGACAGTGCCTGACCCTAGGTAGACGGGATAACTGTGAAAGCCATTCTAGTTTAGGTGGTTCCCCAAACGATTTTCCATTAGGTTGTTGTTATTGTAAAGGTTTCAGATGTTGTTTAAGGAAAGTTGGTGATTGCCTAGCACTAGACAACTTGGGGTCAGATGGAGTGACTGCTAATGGATACAGACTTTATTTTTGGGGTGATGAGCATGTTATGAAATTGATTATGGTGATAGTTGGCACTTATCTACGAATATGCTACAAACCATTGAATTGTGTACTTCAGATGGGTGAATTGTATGATCTATGGATTAAACCTCAATAAAGCTGGTATTAAAAAGTGTCAATTGGGCATTGGTGGTGACATATCTGTAATCCCAGATACTCAGGAGAATGGCAAGTTGGAGGCCAGCCTCAGCTACATAGTGAGACCCTGTCTCAAAAAATAAAAAGGGCTGGAGATGTAACTCAGAGTGCTTGTCTAGTATGTGTGAGGCCCTGGGTTCAATCCCCAGAACCCAAACCAAAAAAAGTCATCTAAGAGCACTGTTTAGCTTCATATAAGTCACACAATACCTTTATTTATTTATATGTGGTGCTGAGAATTGAACCCAGTGCCTCACACATGCTAGGCAAGTGCTCTACCCCTGAGCTACTACTCCAACCCCTTATTTTTATTTTTCTAAAAACTACAGATTTTTTTTATTTGTCTCCTAAAATGGCCTGGAAGCAATGATAACCCCGTAGCAGGTGGCATCAAGACTGTGGTCTTGAAATATTCCCACTGAGGGGGAACCAGGGCTCTCTGGAGAAATGACTTATTTCAGGTATGAGGCAGGAGGTGCTCACAGTAAACCTGAAACATCATCTTAGGAAGGTAAACTATCAAAGACCTTGAGTTTTCTCAGGAGGACACAGCTAAACACATGAGAGAAATCTGGCTGTGACATCTGTCACCCCATGGTCACCAGGGTTGATTTGGCAGATCTAGCTGTCTAGCTGGGTGTCCTTTTTCCCACTTCTCTATATGCATCCCTCCTGAAGCTGTGTGATCAAAGAGGGTGGCCCACCCTTGTTCTTTAGTCAAGGATATGCAAGTAGGTGTGCTTCCCTGCTAGAACCTCCAAACAAGCTCTTAAAGTTGCTGCTGGCATAAGCATATGGGAACAGCAAAAATAATAATGGATCTTCCTGCCAGCTTCCCTACTTGTCCCTTCTGCTTCCATCTTTCGCTCCTGGGCACCCCTGAGCCCAAGGGCCTCAAGTGAGGGCAGTTACACTCTGGAGGGATTTGGGACAGTGTGAGAGAATGATCCTCCATTGAGTGTGGTAGTGTCCTGTGCAAGAAAGTTTTTTTTGTTTTTTGTTTTTTTGTACCAGGGATTGAACCACTGAGCCACATCCCCAGCCCTTTTTTATTTTTATTTTTTATTTTGAGACTGGGTCTCAATCAGTTGCTGAGGCTGGCCTGGAACTTGTGATCTTCCTGCTTCAGTTTCTTGAGCTGCTCGGATCACAAGTGTGTGACACCATGCCTGGCAAGATTTGCTTTTTTAGAGTTTATTTTATTAATATGTTTGATAACAGGGCTAGGGTTGTGGCTCAGTGGTAGAGCACTTGCCTGGCATGTGTGGGGCACTGGGTTCCATCCTTAGCACCACATATAAATAAATAAAATAAAGATACTGTGTCCATCTATTACCAAAAAATTAAAAAAATGTTTGATAACAGAATGACAAAATTGAGAATAATTGAGAAT